CATCCTTTAGACTTGTTCTATGCTCCATTCTAACTCTAGAACTTCGTTGCATATAAAACCTGTCAATACATCAAAGATAATAGACAAAAGTTAAAGCCTCTATGGGTTTGCTTAGGTTCCTTGAGTCATCATCAAAATTAAGATCAACAAAGTGGCTTTAATAACACTAGTGAAAAATCACAATCTTAAAACAACCGAGCATGGATCCTACTCCCTATAAGCTTTAATGGCTTACTTGTTAAAATGAGGTAAAGCTAAAAAAAAAACTCTTCTTCTTTTTCAATTAGTAAATTATATAAGATGAGGTTCTTTGTGATATGGGTTCTTTGTGATATGTTGTCTATGTATGCTTGTCATGTTTTAATTAAAAGACCTTGGATATTGTGGTAGAACTGTATTGCATGATGGAAGGAAAAAAATTAATTCATTCATGATGGATAAGAAGAAGATTATAATCAACCCCTTGTCTCCCAAGATAAAACATAAAGAACCCTATCGGAAAGACGATTAAAGAGAACCTTTCATTAGGAAAATGAGATAAGAAAGGAGATAAATAAAGGGCAAATTGTCTTTGTTTGTCTTCTCAGAGAAACATAAGAGGGTGAGCGAGAGAACCTGATTCACCACATTATCAAGGAAGTCTTGTAGGTGACCAAGGTATTTTTCTCGATGATTTCCCACTCGGCTTGATTTGCTACCTATTAGGAGAATTGAGCATCAAATTGATCTCATTCTGGGATCACAAACTCCTAATAGAACGACTCATACTTGTACCCCTGATGAGATAAAAGAACTTCAAAGACCAGTTCATTAGTTGATGGCCTATTAAGAGGATTTGTGAGGGAATCCCTTAGCCATTTTTTAGGTTCTTGCTCTTTTTATTCCGAAAAAGGATGGTACACGGAGGATGTATGTGTCTGGTAGGTATCATCATCAATATTATCATCAAATTGAAGGAATTATGTTTTTGTCAAGTGAAATTACTAAATATGTTATTGGATCAGATTATTATGTAATACCCCGTATTTTCATACGTATTTTCCTAATTAATTATTATTTTCTAAAAAGGGTATTTTAGTAATTCAACTTACTATTTAAATCTTGGAGCCAAAATGATATTTAAATTTTGGCGCCAAAAGTATTTTGAAAAGTAATCATTATTTTGGATAAGATTTATTATCCATTAATCCTATTTAAAAAACCGGATTATTTATATTTCAGATATTTTAATTAAGGCAAAAGCTATATTTTATTAGGTTCGAAAATCCCAATTAATTAGCTAATAATTTCGGATTTTCCTATGTGAAAAACTGATTTTTATTTAGTTAAATTATTTGGTGAATATTTGGTATTTTGTTATTTAATTATTTATTACAATAAATATTATTTACACAATTATTTTTATTCCTTTAAACTAGCAAAATATATTCCTAAATACTAAATAGGAAGGCCTAAAATATGAGCTTAGGAAAGCTCAATAATTTTGGCCATCCCATAAAGACTTTGGGAAAATATTTTAGTAATTTGTATTTTTAATTATCTCCATAAAATCTCCTATTTTCCATAATTCTAATTCTCCGTCTATTTGATATCCAATTATTATATTTTCTTGCCATTCATTCTTCTTAATTATTTCCCAAGAAATCCCAATTTCCTTAATATTTTTCATGACATACATACCTTCCATACTCAATTATACACAATCCCTTCAAATATCAAAACTTTCCTTAAATCTTTGCTCATTTCTCCAAGTAATCTCTTAAACCCTAATTACCATAATTCTTCCTACATTTTCCTACCATAATTCATGCTCATACTAGCCTATAAATACCCCTTCATAACTCTCACATTCTTCACACCAATTCTCTTCTTTTCTTCTCCTCAATTTTACACAAATCATCCCGTTCATCTTTGAAGTCAATTTTCGGGCACTTCTGGTCAGTTTTTGGGGGTAGTGATGTTTCATAAAAAGTTGTTCCTCTCAAAAAATCCTTGAGGTTAGGCTCTAGAATCAAACAATTCGGAGCTATATCAAAGGAGTTATAGCCTCTGAATGTTCTGCTTATTATTTCCTACGTAAATCCAATTCTTTACTTCTCCTTTACTTTTATTCAATTATTATTATTATTATTATTATGGGAGACTAATATGAAATTATTATGAGTAGTTTTAATTATATAAAATCATATTTTAATAATGTTCATGTTGAATTAATTTAAGAGGTTCATGTACATATAGTTGGGAGGGTTTAATTTAATTATTTGTGATTATTTGTTAACCTTATATTGATTAAGGTTATATTTATTTGTAGGGTGTTTTTGATCAAGCTACTGGAGAGTTCTTTTGAAGTGTTGTTGGCTAAGTGAAGATCAAGGTACGTTAGGTGGCTAGATTCTTTGAAAGTGATCGATTTGAATAACATGTTGAATGATTTTATGATGAACTGAATTAAATTGAATTGAATTATGGTTTATGAATTAAAATTATGTTTAAAGGATTGGTTTTAATGATTGAATTGGAGTATTGATTTTTATAACATGTTTTGATTAATTAATTTATTATTCATGTTTAAAAAGGATTGATTTTGAAAGCAAGTTGGATTTATGGAAAAGGAGTTTGGATTATTTTCATTAAAGGTTGAATTATTGGATTTAAAAGAGGATTTATTGAATCATGGATTTATTATTATTTATGCTTTATAAGCATGTTGGTATAATCCCACATTGCGAATTTGGTTTATTGATAAGGCCTTGGACTTTGCATGACCGGGTCTTTCCTCAAGAATATCCTTGTAACATAAGGAGACTAGCTTGGGGGGTGTGCACACTTGGGAGAGGAATTGGTTTTAATATGAGGAATTGGTTTTTAAATAATTGGAATTGGTTTTATTGATTATTGATATTGGAATTATTTAGAATTGGTTTTAAACCATGAGTTTGGAATTATTGGATTATTTATTGGAAATTGGTTTTAAAGCATGTTTGTGAATAAATTGAGTTTAATGATCTTGCACTTATCGCACTTAGCGTATTTTGCCAACTCGTACTTCTTATTTGTTTTGGTTCCCCTGTTTACTGTAATGGTAAGCAGTGTTGCTTATTTTCAGGTTAGAGTCAATAAATGATGCATTGGAGTCCCGGGATTGGTTTTCACTAAATTAGGAATTTGGTCTTGTATCTATTTGGAGTATTTATAACATTGGTTACTATTATGTTTATTATTAATAAAGAAGAGTATTGAAGTTTCCGCTGCAAAGTATTGTTATTTTTAGTAAGTTGAGTAGCCTTGCGTAATCACGCGGCGGTAATACGCCTAAGTCTATCTCTACGGTATAATTATACGTATTATACTAGTATTTCCGTAGAGGGAGATTTGGGGGTGATACAAAGTGGTATCAGTTTTCAAGGTCCTAAAAAGATTAAAATGGGAATATTAATAAAAAAAAAATTGTGGGTAGACTTAAGGGGCATATAGGATAGATAGAAATTCGCATTTGTGCGTGAGTCAAAAGCTTTATTTTACTTAAAAACTATTTTCCTATTTGTGGAAAGATGAGGGAGAAAAGGATTCTCGGGTTCTCTACAGAGGCCAATAATGGGTATGAATCTCTGTCTAGGAAAGGCTCACCTCAACGTCGTAGGTAACTTTCCTGGGAGACGCGGGCTTGACCGTCCTTTAATCTTGATTGAAGTACATATTTATTATTTTCGAAAATAAAAAGAATTGAAATTGTTTGAAACTTTAGTATGTGATTATGTGTGCATTAAAGTTGGTGTTAAAACACCTTAGAGAGTGGTCTAGAGGTCCGAATTTTTGAGTTATTAGCCATGGTTGGGTAATCTTGAGTTATGCTTAGTTGAGTTATGAATTGCTTATTGCAAATGGATTTTGAATTGGATTGTTTGTGTGATTTGACACTTAATTAATTGTTTTGCATGTATGTGTGAAACAGATGAAAATGATTGATGCAATGAGACACTAATATTTTGACATTCATTACTTGAAATATAGTGGAGTCACAGTTAGTGATTTCATAACTGGAATTTGTACTTTGGCCTTGACCCTTTATGAGAAGAATGGTGAGGAAGCCTTGACCCAACAACCTTTGATGGTTCTTCTAGCCTTGGCCCATTTGCCTAGAATTGAGAAATACCAACCTCTTTTTGACAAATATGGGGATGTGATCAAGGAAGATGGAACAATGTGGAATGAGAAGCACCATCATGAAGGGAAGTGGTTAGCAAACATGTCTAGTTTTAAGAGGGACTTGCACTATGTGGAGCGCAACTATGAACCTAAGAGGAAAGTTGTGCAAATTCCCACGATCCCAAAAGACCGCATCTTTGGACCTAATGACCAAATGTACTTCTTAAATTCCCAAGTACCTTTTTCATACCCAAAGAAGCGACATGAGTATGTGGAATCTAGTGATGAGTCCGTACCACCTCTTGGTAGGAGCAAGCATTAAAGTTCTCTTAGCCAAACTCCAAGCTATGAATCTTCCAAACAACCTAGCCCAAAAGCCCATTTCCATGTTGCAAAAAGGCCCAGAACTCGTTCTCAAACTGCAAAAGAAATAGCCCAAAACCCCAAAGCTTCTTCAAGCCAACCTTGTGGGGATGTAAGTCCAACAAAAAGCCCAAGTTACACTCCTGCCCCAGACAGAAATATAAGTAAATCTGGGTTAAGCTCATCAGGCCTTATTCCAAGCTATAGTGGTTATAACCCAACTCTCATGGCCGAACCAAGCAATAGAAGTGATGATCCGGATTATGATCCTATTGAAGATGGTTATGCCCATAGTGTTATTTGATTGTTTTTGAACTATGTTTTTGTTTCATGTTTCAATAATTGTCCTAAGTGACAAAGTTGTATTTTCATTAATTATTAATGAAATAAAATGAATTATTTGAAATTTCTCTATGTTATTAAGTGAATTAAATGCTTGTATGAGTAGAACTTGTTTTGATTTCCAAGTGTAATAATCATACCCAGGAATTATGTCTCCAAGAATGAGGGAACATTTAAGAAGTAAGCGCAATGGTTCTAAAGTTGGAAAGGTCCTTAAGCAGTTGACCCAAATTACTGAGAACATCACGAAGGTGGTGAACAGGGAACACCGAAATCCTGAGCTTGATGCCTATAATAAAGTCTTTAAGAGGGTAGCTGCAGCTAAACCACCTGTTTACTTGGGAAGAGAGGACCCAACCAGCCTTGGAAACTGGATTAGGGAGTTTGACAAGCTATTTGATGCTATCAATTGCCCAAGTGAGCTGAGGGTGAACAATGGGGTTTACTACTTGAGGGAGGAAGCTGACTTATGGTGGGCCAAAAGAAAGGATAAGTTGCTGAAAAGACCAAACTTTTGGTGGGATGAGTTCAAGGAAGTCTTGAGAGAAAAGTTTTACCCTTCCTACCTTAGAAAGAAGAAGTGTATGGAGTTTACCAACCTAAGAATGGGAAACATGTCAATTAGTGAATACTACAAAAAGTTCATTGAGTTGATGAGGTTTGCCCTGGAAGTAGTCCCTACTGAAACCATTAAGGCTCAAAGATTTGAGCAAGGCCTAACCTTGACCCTCCTAGGGAAGCTAGAGGGAGTGACTTTTGAGACCCTAGATGTAGTCTATGGCCGTGCAGCCCATCTGTACGGAATTAAGGGGAGGGAGATGGAGCAGGTGGGAGAGAAAAGGAAGAACCCAGACTCTTTTTATGGGGGTGAAAAGAGGCACAAGCCCTATGGAAATTTTCAAGGGAATTCTGGAGATAGGAGGGACAACAAGGGGAATTTGAGGAAGGGGAATGGGGGACAGTCATCCAAACATAAAGGGAATGGGAAACAAATGGATGAGAAGCCCAAGAGGAAGTATTTCTGCAAGAGGTGTGAGAAAGACCACCCAAGGAAGGACTGTGAGGGAAACCCAGTAACTTATCGTTACTGTCAGAAGTTGGGACACCGTGAGTATGAGTGTTTCAAGAAGGAAGTTGATGTTAAGTTTGGGAAGGTGAAAGAGTCTAGTGCACCTAGTAAACCACCTAAGTCTAGTGGACCTACAACCAAGGCTGGAACCAGTAGCGGTACGGGAGGTGCCCCAAAGGGTAGTGTGTTTGTGATGAATAGTCGGCAAGCTGAGTCTGCTAATGATGTCGTAATTGGTGTTTTCTTTATAAGTTCTTCTCCTGTGATAATCTTGTTTGATTTAGGGGGCGTCGCATTCTTTTATTTGTAAGGAAGTAGTTAGGAGGCTCGGGTTAAAGAGTCCTGAGTCAGTTTCTCTAGATGTGTCTATTCTGTCTGGGGAAGTGAGGAGTTGTTCGAGATTGTTTTTGAGTGTGCCTATTTCCATCTTTGGGGTTGAGTTTCTAGCTGATTTGATCGAATTCGACTTGAATGACTTTGATGTGATTCTAGGTATGGATTGGTTGGGAAAGTATGAAGCAAAAATTGATTATGCGGCTGAAAACGTCACGTTGACTAGCCCAAGTAAGACCGAAGTAGTGTATAAAAAGGAAGGGAAAAGCTCGGGGTTCAGAATTGTGTCTGTAATGTAACTACAGAAGCTGGTTAAGAAGTGTTGTCCTTTGTTTTTGTGTAGTGTTCAAGAGGTTGAAAGTGAGGAAAAGAAAGGTATAGAGGGTATTTCTGTTGTAGAAGAGTTTCCAGATGTGTTTCCGGATAAGATTCTTGGTATGCCACCAGTGAGAGATGTTGAGTTCACTATCGATCTAGTGCCTGGAACTGGACCTATTTCTAAGGCTCCATATAGGATTTCTCCAGCTGAGTTGAGGGAGTTGAAGACCCAGTTGGATGATTTGTTGGAGAAAGATTATATTAGGCATAGTTCATCACCTTGGGGAGCTCCAGTATTGTTTGTGAAGAAGAAAGATGGAAGTATGAGGTTGTGTATAGATTATCGAGAGTTGAACAAGGTGACAGTGAAGAATAAGTATCCATTACCAAGGATCGATGATTTGTTTGACTAGTTTAAAGGAGCAGGGGTATTCTCAAAGATAAATTTGAGATCGGATTATCACCAGTTGAGAATTGCGGAGCAAGATATTGCAAAGAGTGCTTTTAGGACCCTTTATGGTCATTATGAGTTCACAATTATGCCATTTGGTTTGACCAATGCACCTGCAGTGTTCATGGACTTGATGCATAGGATTTTCAGGCCATACTTGGACAAGTTTGTAGTGGTGTTTATTGATGATATTTTGATATATTCAAAGAATGAAGAGGAGAATAAGGAGCATTTGAGACAAGTGTTGTCATATTTAAGAGAGCATCAGTTGTATGCCAAGTTGTCTAAGTGTGAGTTTTGGTTGGAGAAAGTAGCATTTTTGGGCCATGTGATTTCCAAGGATGGAGTTTCAGTGGACCCAAGCAAGATTCGAGCTGTGAGTGATTGGCCAACCCCAAAGAATGTGTCGGATGTAAGGAGTTTCTTGGGTTTAGCAGGCTATTACAGAAGGTTTGTGAAGGATTTTTCAAGGATCGCGAAGCCCATGACAAGTTTGATGATAAAGGAGCATAAGTTCTCATGGACCCAAGAGTGTGAGGAGGCATTTAAGATCTTGAAAGAAAGTTTAACCACAGGACCTGTCCTGGCTTTGCCGGATGGGAATGATCTATATGACGTGTATAGTGATGCATCGAGGTTGGGATTGGGATGTGTGTTGATGCAGAATCGAAGGGTGATTGCGTATGCCTCGAGCCAGTTGAAGGTTCACGAAGGGAATTACCCAACCCATGATTTGGAGTTAGCTGCAATAGTGTTTGCCTTGAAGATTTGGAGACATTACTTGTATGGGGTGACTTGTAGGATTTTCATGGATCATAAGAGTTTGAAGTAAATTTTCACCCAGACGCACTTGAATGGGAGACAGAGACGATGGTTGGAGTATATGAGTGATTATACATTGGATATTCAGTATCATGAGGGAAAGGCTAATGTGGTGGCAGATGCTTTGAGCAGAAAGTCAGAACATACGGTGAATGTGATGGTAGTCCCAGATTAGTTGTGTGTGGAATTCCAGAAGTTGAACTTGGAGGTGTTGGAACATGGTGAAGTGGCTAGGATGTTGAATGCCTTTGTGGTTCAACCATCCATTTATGATGAGATAAGGGATAGTCAATTGGAAGATGAGAAGTTAAAAGCAACCAAGAAGAAGATTGATGAAGGGCAAGTGTCAGATTTCACCATTTGTGATGAGGGAAGTATTCGTTTTAAGGGAAGATGGTGTGTGCTGCAGAATCGTAGTGATTTGAAGCAAAGATTGATGGAAGAAGACCATAATTCTCCTTATTCAATGCATCTTGGAGGGGATAAGTTGTATAAGGACATGAAGAAGACTTTTTGGTGGCCCAATATGAAGAAAGAAGTGGCTGAATTTGTTGCTAACTATTTGGCATGTCAGAAGGTGAAGATTGAGCATCGTATGCCTCAAGGAAAGGTCCAATCCTTGGAGGTGCCCAAGTGGAAATGGGATTCGATTTCTATGGATTTTGTGGGAGCTTTACTAAAGACCAAGGCAGGAAATGACACTATTTGGGTGATAGTGGACAGGTTGACGATGTCAGTAGCGTTCATACCCATGAGAAGTACTTGGACCATGGATCAGTTAGGAAGAGCTTATGCAAAGTTTGTGGTGAAGTACCATGGGGTACCCACAGATATCATTTCGGATAGAGATTCAAGGTTTTTGTCTAACTTTTGGCAAAGTTTGCCAAAGGCGATGGGAACTAAGTTGTTAATGAGCACAACATTTCATCCTGCGACAGATGGTCAGACAGAAAGAACGAATCAGACATTAAAGGACATGTTAAGAGCTTGTGTGATGGAGTATCAAGGGTCTTGGGAAGACCACTTGGATTTGATAGAGTTCTCTTATAACAACAGTTACCATGCAAGCATTGGGATGGCATTGTTTGAAGCTTTGTATGGTCGAAAGTGTAGAAGTCCGGTATGTTGGAATGATATAAGTAAAATTATGGTTCTTGGACCAGAGATGATTGAGGATATGGTGAAGCAGGTTAAGTTGATCCAAGAAAAGATTAAAGCGCCCCAAGATCAACAGAAGAGTTATGTTGATCTGAAAAGGAGGGAAGAGGAGTACGAAGTAGGAGAAAAGGTTTTGTTGAAAATTTCACCCACGAAAGGTGTGATGAGGTTTGAGAAGAAAGGGAAATTAATCCCAAAGTACATAGGGCCTTATGAGATCATTCAGAAACTGGGAAAAGTGGCTTATAAATTGGATTTGCCTAACGAGCTTGAAAGAGTTCACAATGTGTTCCATGTGAGCCAAATCCGAAAGTATATTCCTGATGTGACACATGTGTTACAACTAGAAACCATTGAGATGGATGAGAATTTGACTTATTAGGAAAGACCAATAAATATTCTTAACTCTAAGGTCAGGAGCACAAGGAACAAAGATGTGAGCATTGTGAAAGTATTGTGGTCAAATCAGAAAATTGAAGAGGCTACATGGGAAGCTGAGGCTGATATGAGGAAACGTTACCCAGAACTGTTTTCCTAAGGTTAGTGGTCGAGTTACAAGGGCGTAACTCCTTTTAAGGGGGGTAGAGGGCGATAGAGTTTCGCGCGTCTACTTTTTGAGTCATTTTTGAGTGATTTCGAGTCTTATTTAAGTTTAGTTGGAGTCTTGAGTCAAGTTAGGATGTGCATGAACCAATAATTTCAAAATGATTTTCGTTTCTTCTGGCTAAGTTTCGGGTAGAAACTTATTTTAAGGGGGTAGACTGTAATACCCCGTATTTTCCTACGTATTTTCCTAATTAATTATTATTTTCTAAAAAGGGTATTTTAGTAATTCAACTTACTATTTAAATCTTGGAGCCAAAATGATATTTGAATTTTAGCGCCAAAAGTATTTTGAAAACTAATCATTATTTTGGATAAGATTTATTATCCATTTATCCTATTTTAAAAACCGGATTATTTATATTTCAGATATTTTAATTAAGGCAAAAGATATATTTTATTAGGTCCGAAAATCCCAATTAATTAGCTAATAATTTTGGATTTTCCTATGTGAAAATCTGATTTTTATTTAGTTAAATTATTTGGTGAATATTTGGTATTTTGTTATTTAATTATTTATTACAATAAATATTATTTACACAATTATTTTTATTCCTTTAAACTAGCAAAATATATTCCTAAATACTAAAAAGGAAGGCCGAAAATATGAGCTTAGGAAAGCTCAATAATTTCGGCCATCCTATAAAGATTTTGGGAAAATATTTTGGTAATTTGTATTTTTAATTATCTCCATAAAATCTCCTATTTTCCATAATTCTAATTCTCCATCTTTTTGATATCCAATTATTATATTTTCTTGCCATTCATTCTTCTTAATTGTTCCCCAAGCAATCCCAATTTCCTTAATATTTTTCATGACATACATACCTTCCATATACAATTATACACAATCCCTTCAAATATCAAAACTTTCCTTAAATCTTTGCTCACTTCTCCAAGTAATCTCTTAAACCTTAATTACCATAATTCTTCCTACATTTTCCTACCATAATTCATGCTCATACTAGCCTATAAATACCCCTTCATAACTCTCACATTCTTCACACCAATTCTCTTCTTTTCTTCTCCTCAATTTTACACAAATCATCCCGTTCATCTTTGAAGCCAATTTTCGGGCACTTCTGGTCAGTTTTTGGGGTAGTGATGTTTCATAAAAAGTTGTTCCTCTCGAAAAATCCTTGAGGTTAGGCTCTAGAATCACACAATTCGGAGCTATATCGAAGGAGTTATAGCCTCTGAATGTTCTGCTTATTATTTCCTACGCAAATCCAATTCTTTACTTCTCCTTTTCTTTTATTCAATTATTATTATTATTATTATTATGGGAGATTAATATGAAATTATTATGAGTAGTTTTAATTATATAAAATCAGATTTTAATAATGTTCATGTTGAATTAATTTTACAGGTTCATGTACATATAGTTGGGAGGGTTTAATTTAATTATTTGTGGTTATTTGTTAACCTTATATTGATTAAGGTTATATTTATTTTTAGGGTGTTTTTGATCAAGCTACTGGAGAGTTCTTTTGAAGTATTGTTGGCTAAGTAAAGATCATGGTACGTTAGGTGGTTGGATACCTTGAAAGAGATCGATTTGAATAACATGTTTGAATGATTTTATGATGAACTGAATTAAATTGAACTGAATTATGGTTTACGAATTAAAAGTATGTTTAAAGGATTGGTTTTAATGATTGAATTGGAGTATTAATTTTTATATAATGTTTTGATTAATTAATTTATTATTCATGTTTAAAAAGGATTGATTTTGAAAGCAAGTTGGATTTATGGAAAAGGAGTTTGGATTATTTTCATTAAAGGTTGAATTATTGGATTTAAAAGAGGATTTATTGAATCATGGATTTATTATTATTTATGCTTTATAAGCATGTTGGTAATCCCACTATGCGGATTTAGTTTATTGATAAGGCTTTGGACTTTGCATGACAGGGTCTTTCCTCAAGAATAACCTTGTAGCATAAGGAGACTAGCTTGGGGGGTGTGCACACTTGGGAGAGGAATTGGTTTTAATATGAGGAATTGGTTTTTAAATTATTGGAACTAGTTTTATTTATTATTGATATTGGAATTATTGAGAATTGGTTTTATACTATGAGTTTGGAATTATTGGATTATTTATTGGAAATTGGTTTTAAAGCATGTTTGCGAATAAATTGAGTTTAATGATCTTGCACTTATTGTACTTAGCATATTTTTCTAACTCGTACTTATTATTTGTTTTGGTTTGCCCTGTTTACCGTAATGGTAAGCAGTGTTTCTTATTTTCAGGTTGGAGTCAATAAATGATGCATTGGAGTCCCGAGATTGGTTTTCACTAAATTAGGAATTTGGTCTTGTATCTATTTGGAGTACTTATAACATTGGTTACTATTATGGTTATTATTAATAAAGAAG